AAAAATAACAATCTGTTGCAGAATCAGTTCACAAATGCCAATCTGTGTTTGTTTGGCGACAAATCTTTGATGTGAGAATAGAAAAAAGGAGAGGAGTGTGTTCCCGCTGCGTCTTTAGCGGCTTGAAGTTGAACGGACTCGTCTCCTTTCATCACGCTGGCTCTGGGCATCTCGCCACTTTGGTTTCCTTTAAAACTCGCCAGACAAGGTGTCTCATTTAGACAACAAAGAGAGGGAGGCACTCTGACAGTCTGAGGCCTGATCAAAGATGTCTGATCAGAGCTGCACACAAGGCTGTTGACTCCGTTATGTAACACTTTGGATTTATCTGTGTCCCTCTCAATCTTTCTCTCTTTTTTCTTTGTTATATGCACAAAATAACAAATATCTCAACAACCCCATTATGATGTGAGCAACCCCGTGATTGGGTGTTTTATATATTATACATCAGTATTCATAAAATCTCCATGTGAAACTCTTAAACTCTGAACGTCCTACATCTCGTTCTACCTTCTTGTTAGCGGGTTGAATCCCTCTTTGATTGACAGCTGGGGTCCGTCTGGCCTCTCATACAGCTCATGATAATGGCCTCCAGTCCCTCATCAAGGCCACAAAATAATACAGTGGAGAGGCACTCAGCCAGATCCTGATGAGTGTGTGTGTGTGTGTGTGATGCTGAGCGGGGAGGCCCATTAGCATTCATCAGTGGGATAATCGGCCAGCGTTAATGTCAGCTGTTTATATACAGAATCACTCATAAAGCCGTGGCTCACATAGGCTGAGGGAGCATGCATTTTTCCTTGCCACATTTGGCAAGGTGTGTGTATGTGTGTGTACGTGTGAGTGAGTGTAAATGTGGTCGGGTGGTGAGGGATTGTGGGCCCTGAGCTCCTTAAGTCTTAGCAGTTTGGCATTAAAGTGAATTTATTGACTGCTTACACAAACATGAGGGACCGTGTGATCAGCACGTCCAGAGACTGGGCGCAAAAGCGTCACAGTCTGTAAACAACGCCGACCAAACAGGAGCCTTCACCTGGATAAAAACACAACTTTGAAGTGGGTCAAAAATGGTCAGAAATTAACAACTACCAAGCACCAAATGTGGACGACAGGATGCAACAGTTTTCTCTTTCATCCTTCTCATGCCTCACGTTTTATCACCTGGATCCACTTTGTGCTCTTAAATGTTTCAGGGTTCAGTTTGGATATTTGTAAGAGCTACTTTCTGGGGGTTTTCACACTGTTGGAAGTGTTTATATATGGAATTGACGAGGAGGCACATCAACAACCTCAAGGGAGAGCAGTTATTTGTTTCCCTTCTGATGTGGGCGGGACTTAATTGCGCTCTACCTCTATGCTGAATATTTGCACAGACTAAAACAAAAGCAGCACCAATCACACACCACACCATTTACTGACAAATTCCCCCACATGCGTGTCAGCTCCATACCAGAAATGCAGAGCCCTCTGCAGCAGATACCCGAGGCTTCTATGTTTGCCGGATGCCGGAGCACGGCGCATCCATTTACCACCGAGCAGATCGAGGGAGACAGGAAGTCAGCCACCAAAAACAACATCTGGTTTGTTTTCAGAATAAAACACTCTGTCTTGACGGCTTGGCCTTCTGTGTGTTTGTTGATGTGTTTAGAAGAATTTTATACCACATTACATCTTATTATCTAGCTCTGATTCTGTAATTACCACAGTTACTCCTTTGTCTTGTGACTCCAGCTGTCCAGTGGTGCTGTTCCCTGGCGCGCTTTAAGAACACAAACTGTGGGTGCTGATGGACGAGGGTGCCGTAACTGTGCAGAGCTGACAGGCAATGCACACCTATCTGGTGGTTTGTCCAAACGATGGAATTTTCTCGCTGTAATTTTTCCTCTCGATATGTCAGCTTTACTGGTTTCTGTTATTAACTACACCCAGTCTAGATTTTAAGATTTGTTCTCCTTGCATTTAACTGCACTCAAGTTTTGCAATCTAAAAAAAACAAACTCATACTCAAACGCTCCTTCTCCTTTCTCTTCAAACCAGCATCAGCTCCCCCTCTGAGTTTACCAACCTCGCTGGTATTTTTAGCGTAAAAGTCAATGTGTGGTTTTACTCGACCTGACTTCACATTCTTAATTCATACCAGGGGGTGGAAAGGCCTGCTTAAATATGAATGGTGAAGAAAAGCACTTTGAGTGCACCAAATGATGCCGTGCAATACAGAGCTACTTCACCTGCATCCGCCATGAAAGGAAAAGATTTGATGTAAGCAGAAGGGCTTAACTGGAATTACTGCCTCACAGCTGTTCCCATCTGCCAGGCAGAAAAATTGCAGTTCACATCCAAAGAGTGAAAGTGTAACTGCAGACGGGATGGTGGATATTATTTGTTATAATAAAATATCTGAAAGTAAAATCACGCTCAAAACATGACAGCATGAGTGATCTGTGTTCAACAGGAGAGGCTGCAGAAAATCATCTGAACAGAATACCAGAGAATGTATTTTTGTGTTTGTCCAAAGAGAGGGTGATGTATCAACAGAAAGCAGGAAAGACTCAGAGTGAGGGGGAGTAAGATTATCAATGTGAGTAAGGGTGGTAATATGAAGGTTATTATCAGTTTCACATTTAGTCCTAGAAAACAACACACATTTAGTTTTCTGAACATTTAAAACCAATTTAATATTGTTAAGTGCAACTTGGAGAACATTAAAGGAAAGTTGCAGGTTCTCCATGGCAAGCTGAGCAGAATTAGCAATACAGTACAATATTGTATCATCTGCATACAAGTGAGCATCTGTATGGTCGCTAGATAACAATGGAATCATTTTATTTAAAAAAATTGTAAAAAGACATTTGTCAGGATTCAAAACACCTCTTTCAGAAACCGATGGATGACATCTCTGTGACTTCATGGTTAAATCCTTTTTAGACGTTTGTGTGAAATTAGTATTTTAATGACCTTTGAACTCTAAATTATTATCTGTTCATCCTTGAAAACCGCCACGGCTGCTGACGACGACACTGAGGCATAGAAACTTGTGGTACAGAATGATTCAGGGGATATTTAATGCACAAAGTAAGAAAAAGAAGGGTTCAGACACCCACACATGTAAACATCTACAAAGTAAAGAGTGTTTAGTTTGAGTCAGACAGAAAAAGAGTTTGACGCCTTTTCTTAGTTCTCTTATTTTTTTTGCTTTAATCTCAGAACAATAAAGCTCAGGAGATAAATAATCCATGATAAACAAACTACAGCTAATTAGTGTGATTTTCTTACAGCCTTGGTGTGTATGTGTGTGTTCACTGATTATCTCTGCCAGCGCTATGGAAACGGATCACAATAGTTTGTAATTAACCCACACGGTGTATTTTTATCATACTATATAAAACGACTGTTCTACACACCAATCAAACAGACAAAGAGGACAGAACAGAAGACAGCGATGTGTGGGAGGGGAAGGCAGCGATGGAGACGCTGATATGGAAACAATGAGGCGATGAGGTGCCTCTTTGAAACCAAACACGGCGTCACCTCTAATGAACAGATTTTTGAGAATCATCTTTGTCAAAGTGCCTTCAGATTACAGAGACTCAGGCTGAACTTCTTTTTAGCCACCAGGTGGAAGGGGATTATTCTCGCACCGCGGCGCTCCTGCTGGTGTTCATTAAAGCTCCCTGTGAGGAGTTTTTAACTCATAATGAAACAGTGTGAAAGTAACACCGATGTGTTCCAGCACCGAGTTACAAAATCAAGCAAGAGCAGCAGGAGTCAGAAAGATAATTTCTATACTTCTACTGTATCTTTATACTTGTTTTTAATACAGCCACAGGATGGGGGTCAGATGACCAGACAACATCAAGCTGAGAGAGAGTGGCCTCTTGCTCAGCATCACCAATTTATTAAAAATGAAAAATCTCAATCAAACTTGATTTTCATTCCAACTCTTTTATTATTTCCTGACACGTCTTTTCCATATCTCAAGATGTCATACTCTCCTTTCTTATTCTATATAATGTAAGGAGTGGATCAATTAAACACCTCCTGCGGATGTCAGAGCAGCGAGCGGAGGATAGTGACGGGCAGAGACTGACACACATTACCGATAGCAATCCTCTTCACGCTTTGCTCCTCGTGTCCGACACCTCCCAAGGTCATCCCTGCTCTCTCCCCGCAGAGAGTCTCTGTCACTTTTAATAACTTTTAAAGGGAACATTTTTCCTGAGCTCTGACAGGCTGAGGAGGAGAGGGACCAGCCGCAGAGTGAGACAATCACAAAGTGCCGACAGAGCGAGGAGGTGTGAAGTGAGGAGACGAGGCTGCATTGACTAACTCGATGTTACTTTATAACAAAGTGTTGCTGCGTAGAACCCAAGTCTGAAGTCTGATGTGGATTGTGTTCGAAAAGGGCCCGGGCAGTGGGCGGTCAATGGGGGCTGTAATCACTGCGATGTTCGCTCTCACTGTTCCACCAGCGCTCCGAAAACAACTCTTTCTAAAAGAACAAAAAACTTCCATTCATTCATAGGTTGATTTGTCTGAATGTGAACCATTTGTGCAATTTGTTTAATGCCGGTGCTCAAGGGTGACATCTACTGAATCAAAAAGTTTCATATTCTTCCTTTAACTGTAAAAGTGAATTTCATTAAATGTTATATATTTGGTTATGCTGAATTAAAGAAGACCTGAAGCACAGGAAATGTTCACACAGTTGATGCAAGTCAGGATGCTGCGTCATTACCTGAAAGATTGAGTTCTCAACCAGAGGATCTGCGGAGTTCCCCAATCATAAAGAGCGACGTCTAAGGCTCTGTCAGGTGATTGGCTCATTGGCTTCCCTTTTCAAATCAAGTCAACATCCACTCTTTCATGTCACCATCCTCTTACATCCGACTGGAAGGACATGCCTAAGAGTCCTATCCATCCAATGGTTGGTAACTTCTCAGTACCAAGCCTTTCAGAGGAGTAATGTTCATGTTATACCTGGATTAAGTCTAACTTCATACCTGTTCCTGTCTGTCAAGCCATCGGTCCACCATTGGATGGTTGGCGCTCAGGGAAGATCGGGTCATCTCTCTCTGGAACTGAGTGGACCAGCCACTCGCGTCACGAGGAAGACTCCTGTAGGCGTGGGCTCCTCGACCCTACAACAAATCAGGAAGAAAAAAAACTGATTAATATCACTGACAGGCTTTGACGTGGACCTGAAGGACTGCTAACCCATTGTGATTATTATCTCACATCTGTTAAAACTTGAGGACAGTTAAAAATGTTACCTTCAGGTTCCCTTTTTTCAATCAATCAAACAGGTGAGGAAAACCAAACTTTTTAAAGACTATTCTCTGAGTTTTTGTTAAAGCTTGTCAAAAGTGATTTTTGTCATAACAAACAAGTGAAAAAAGGAGGAGTTTGGTGAGTTTGTTGAGATACTCATTTTAGTACTTACAACTAATTCCAACAGTTATCAAAGCCAGAGAAATCCTTCATTTCAGAGTTGTAACGAGACGTGTGGTGAAGCAGCCACAATGTCAGAGCCACCATGACAGATACGACATGTCTATCGTTGCCGTGGAAACAGGATGTAACATCGAAGACCGACACATAAAGAAGCGGGAACTGCTACTGACAGCTGCTGTACTGTTGCTGCAACAGAAAGAATCACTCCCATGATTCCCCCCGCCCGCCCTCAACGCCATCTTTTGTTATTGTTTCGATTGAGAGCCCCTTGGCAGCGAAATTTACATACTTTGTGTTTAAGAAATGTAGCTCGAAAGTTTATTCTCAGCTCAGTGTACCACCACTGAATGTACCTGCACTGCCATGAAATGATCTGACGTAACATTATCTAAAATCTGTTCTAATCGTGCGTCATCCTCACAAACAGTTTTAGTGTGTTGAAGCTCTCTCCAGCCTCTGGAGGACAGACATTCAGTGGTGCAAGTCAGTAAGTTTATCTTGGAGGTTTGCCCACACACACTCACACAGTGTTGTTCATTCAGGTCTCACTCTATTCCTCCCTCACCTCTGAACCGTCAGTTTCCCTTCAGCTAAACTGGAGCCACTAATAAGAGGCCTCTTATAATAAGACAGCCACAGCTGAGCTCTTTCATTACAGAAAAAGCACCATTCAAAAATGCTCCAACCAAGGTAATGTCGAACACCGGCAGACCTGCACACTTACTACGATAGCCACAAGCACAAAAACACACACACTGGATTACATTCCAGACAAGCTCGCTCTGGCATTGTAATCCTGGCAATTGAAGGTCAAGGTTGCCGAAGCCATTTGAATGAAAATGGAAGCAAATTAATATCAAAATATCAGAGCAGAGACAAAGAGCTACAAAGAGAGACAAAGAGAATAATTTAAACTTGGATGAGTTACGCAACAGAAGACGCTTATTAAATGAGACACTGCACAACAAAAGACGAGACAATTGTTGCAAAAGGAGAACGAGGGTGGGGGGGGGGAGTGATAAAACAGAAGCAGAAAAAGGAAAACAAAAAGTGCAAGGAGAGAGCAGTGGGGGAAAGATCCTATCCCCCCCTGTGTGCTACAATAAGCCATGTGTGTTTTAGTGCAGCTGAATGTGCCGTGACGGGGCCCGAGGAAGCGACGCAGACAGGACTGTAAAACTCGGCCGGACACTTTGGCTCTACTGAGACCGCCCCCCGATAGCCATCGCGGCGGCCCCTGTCCCTGCTGTGCACCGCAGCACGACACAGGACCCCCCCACCTGCACAAACTTTAACGACAAATCAGATCGTTAAATTTGGAGAACCCAGATCCCGGAGAGGTGGCAGTAAATCAACGGGCTCATAGGTACTGCCTGAATCCCTGTAGTTGACCGTGCTAAGCGTGCGGAACCCGGAGAACGCCGTATTGTAAAGTCATTGAGGAGACGTGATGAGTTAACAGTGCGAGCTGATGACTGAGGACTCCCTTTGGATTATATTAAGGAGATTTAGCAGAACCGAGCCTAACTGGACTGACTGGGAATTGAACGGACTGTGGTGTGTTGAGGAAATTACCCTAGACAATGGGGAGTTGGGAGGAGGGGGGGTAGTGTACTTTATGGCTCACATCCATATCATACATCATTTGGAACTGATGTATGTTATGGCATGATACAACATTTGCCATTTGCGCCAAGAAAAAAATAAATCTATCAAAGTCTGTGCTCACTAATACATTCAACATGTGTTTGTTCAGTGAATAAAAATAGATTCATTCCGGACTCATGGTGAATATGTGACAGCTGGATGTATGGCAAAGAGATGCAGAGAATCATGGGGGCGGGACTCGCTTTTTATTGAAAAAGAAATCTAATGGCCCCGTCATAATCCGGACACATCGGGGGACAAAATCAGACAGACCTCACGGTGTTAGCTCATTACTTCTCAGAGCAGTCGGCAGTGACAGGACGACGACTTTAATTGATCCAATTCAGATAACTGTTCATCTGCTGTGGATTTAGGTCTCAGTCTCAGTGGGTTCATGAACATTGCAATCAGTCTTTTGGTATAGTGTCATTACAATTTGAAGACTTAAAGACTTAAAACCAAATATTAGATGTTTAAAATAAAATAACTTGCCGTGTGTTTACGTGGACTTGAGTATCCTGGTTATGATTATATTAAGGATATGGCGTTTACATGCACACTGAGAAACCTGCTTATTCATGCCTTATGTTTCCATGCTGACCTATATGGACCAGATATTTTGAATTTGAATTTGAATTTTATAAACTTAATTAATCCCTGAGGGGAATTCTGGTTTACACTCTGTTATTGAGAGACATGCTTCTCACACACACAGGCCCTGAATACACACATGTACAAACAGGAGATGTGGACATGCATTATTTGAGAGATACACAGGAGCACACCAGTGCTCCCACACCGGTTGGGAGTTCAGTGCCTTGCTCACGGGCCCCTTGGCAGTGCTCGGGAAGTACCCTGGCACCTCTCCAACTAGCCCCTAACCCCCAAGAGGTAGGTTTCCATGGATACAACATATACAATATATCTTTGATATATCTTTTTTTTAATTCATTTTGATCGTAGGCGTCATTGGCCAGTAAAGAAGCCTTCCTTTGTCCAAATGAAAAGGTCTACCAACTGTTCCACCTCCAGCTCTTCTCCCCGCCCTCTGCTGGGGGGAGTGTGCTGTTTCATTGTTGAGGCTCTGACAACTGAAAGTGTCTTTAAATGGGATTATCAGTCACAGCTTCCAGACACACTAATCACGTGGCGGTTTGCCGTGTCACGTTCCAAGCTCTCAATCAGGTCCCCTTTTTTTTTTTACCTCCCTGTTTTCCTCGGGAACACATCTCTCTTTCCCAGCAAGAAGCGAAGGTCTGTCGGCACCACGTTGGGGGCAGCCATTTTTTGAGAAGTTAATTGGCTTTCCTTCTCTCTGAGAAGCCGCCGGGAGGTTGTACCTGAGCTTCCATTTTTTTATTTTTTTTTGAGGATTTATAATCAAAGTGTGAGTAAGTCTGTGAATGAGGAACAAAGAGAAAAGTGTTCAACAATCTGTGCTCGTCTTTTTTTGGCAGACGAGATGAGGTGTTATCATAAAGAACTAGTTTCAGATAAAGACTATCACTGTCACTGCTGGATATCTGCAAGCAGGGCAGCGCAGGGTTCATATCTCATGTTCTGTCTTTGATTTGGGGCACGGAGGAGAGGAGAGATGGGAATGAAGGAAGAAAGCAGTAAGTTAGTCAAAAAGAGAAAAGACCGCTGGAGGTTGGAAGATTTCAGAGAACTTATCTCTGACATTATAATTGATGCAACTCCAGTTCATCTGAAGAACACTGAAAAATAACTTCTGGTTCATGCTGTTTGAATCAGTGTAGGGGAGAGTTGTCTTCTTAAAAACTAACTTTCAGTTGTGACCTCATGAAACCATGAAGAAGAGAACAACACATACAGTAGTAATGACTAATGATTGGTCCGCTCTGCAGAGAAGGCTGCTTTTGGTTAAATAAAGATTTAAGGCCATGCTGATCTGTTTTTGCATTTTCTTGAGTTCAATCATATCTAACATTCACACCAATCTGTATGATAGAAACTGTTTGTCATATTAGAGAAGTCTTTATGCGGTGCAAGATGTGCAGTCAAAAGTCAAACCTAAAAAACATTCTGTTCCTAATGCATCACTGATCAGATTTCCATGTTACCTTTCTCTCCAGGCTGCCGGTGGCGGCGCTTGTGTTTGGCTTGTGGCCGTGCTTTTGGAAGCCGGCAGTCGTGGACCAGCGAGCCGGGTTCTTTCTGGACGGTTCCTCCGGCATGACCGCGACTTCACCCAGGGGAAGGCCGGCTAGGGAGGGATCACTGCTGCGACGGACACTGAGAGGCATGTCTGTGGAGGGAGGGAGGGAGGGAGGGAAGAAAGGACAAAGGAGAAACAGTGAGTAAAAGAGAGTTACTGCAACATCAAACCACTGCTGCTGCTGCTTTATCCACATAAATCCACGTTCTTTCCATCTCACTGTTTCGGCATTGGCACATTTCTGGGCCCACTGCTCGGTCTGCTAACCATAAGGCCCCTTCATTACCTCTTTGACTGCACTATACAGTATGTCGACCTAAACATGGGAAGTGGTGATTATAGGTACTGTTGTTTCCATAAAAGGTCCATTGAGTCCCAAAAGGAAACATTGTACAACTCAAGCATGAGAGGTTTACTTTGGCTTGAGTCCTGCTGCAGAGAAAGAAATATACCTTAGTTACACTTTTATCTGGAAAATTACCCATACAGCTATTAATAATGTAAATATTAGGAAAAAGTTTATGAGGAAAACGATCCAACCCCTTTCTCTCAGCCTCGCCACCTTTAAAATAACAATTACAATCATAATTAGGGCTAAATTGCTCGTAAATTATGATCTGACCGGAGAAAAGGGGGTCATCCGTTCATACTTCATAACCCGCTGGAGCTGATCCTGGAAAGTTTCCTGAGATTGCAAGCAGGTCCCACAAACCGAATCACCCCAAGCCATCATCAAACATCTACAACAGGAAACTCTGCTCTGTGTTACAGCCGCCGCAGCGACCCATCTGCACCTCCATCTCGGTGTAAAGTTCTCAGGTTTTGATCGGAGCTGCCAAAAGCAAGGAGAGAGAATAAAGTCGCTCCACGCTTCACACTCCCAGATAAAAAACATTCAGTGAGAATACCTGCTGATGTCAGTTAACACAGACATGGCTATAAGTAAATCCGCGAGCTGTAGTGTGAATCATCTGGATTTTCCCAAAAGGCCATATGGATTTGTTTATGTCGTTCTAGCAGCCTGCGCGTAACACCCATAATTATGCAAATAGTAGGGTAACCACCTGTCATCCATCAGCGGATCACTGCAGCGAGCATATGCCGCTGCTAAGCTCCCCATCTGATACACCGGAGACGTGTCTTAGTGGTGGAAGCGACGCATTTTTAATCACGGCTTACGCTGTGCCACAACTCGTGCGTATTTAATATTGTGACAAGGCCGGGGAGTTCTGAACGCCACTGTAAGTGTTTCCTGTGACCGCCTGGGGGGGTTACTGGGAACCAAAGGGAAGTGTAATTATAACTGAATCCCCCAAATAAAGGTGAGATAAACATGTGTTTGTCAGAGCCTTTCTGCTGCACACAGGAAAATCACACCTTTGCTTTGAATGTTCTCTGTCACTTTTACCTGCACTGCTTCAATATGCTAACATGATTTTAAAAATCTAACTCTCTCATGTCATACAATTCATTTCACTACCTCTTCTCCTGCAAGATATCTCTGAGGTTTGCATTTAAAGACAGAGAGGGAAATAAAAGAAGTATGGGACAGGGACTGCAAACTGTTAACAATTATTCTGCAGTAAAACTCTTATTTTTTCACCATATACTGGTAAAAATGTTTTTACTAAACTACATATGTAAGCCGAAATATGGTGAGTGTGTTTGGAGGTATTTTGTCTGCGATAAATGCAGCCGGCGTTAAGCTAACAATAAAAAAATAAAAAAATGTAAAGAGTCAGATATTGATGTTCTTGTCTGGTGATGAAAACAAGTCCTCAGGGCGCTGGTGGTGCAGTGGTTAGAGCACGCTCCCCATGTACGGAGTCTGTAGTCCTTGAAGTGGGCGACCCAGGTTCAAATCCGACCTGTGGCTCCTTTCCTGCATGTCATTTCCCATTCTCTCTCTCCCTCATTTCCGACTCTATCCACCTTCCTATCTCTACAAAAAAGGGCAGAAAATGCCCAAAAATAAACCTTAAAAAAAAAGAAAGAACACAAGTCCTCCAAATTTAAAAGACAAAATGTTGTTTTTTTTTTTAAATCCCTCCATAATGACACGTGGAAATGTTTCTGTAGCAGGGCATGTGTCCAACATAAACCATTTCCATGCACTTCAAGAAAACAATCCCACTGTTGTTTTAATGGGGAGGACAGTCTTTGGGTTTAGTGGGACAGAAAAACATTTTTCAGCAGAGCAGCATTCTTCATCACAGAATCACTGACATGTCATGACTTAAGAAACGCTGCACACTAGATTTAAGGTGATTGAACCTCTTTTTACATGTAGTGTAACCTGAACCTGCTTGTCATTATGTTTAAGTGTGCTATAAAAACTCTTCTTGTTGCTGCCAACTTAACTCCTGCGTTTGATAAAGTTTCAGTATCACTTTCAAAGAATCCAGCATGGCTGACGCCAACACAGAGATATTTGGGCCTTCATCCTGATGCAGTGAAAAAGATCAGTTGTCACCGTGTGTCCCCCGGCGCCGTCCCCTTCCTTCCTCTGTGAGCCGGGGGACTCTGACAGGCAGACTTCATATGCAAATGACTTTATCATGACATCTGGAAACTCTGAGAAACTTTCTCAACTACCCCCCCAAAAAAGTGAAGTTCCAAACTACTTTCTCAAAGTAACTTGAGTTAATAAAACTGGATCTCTCATGAGGGAATCTTTGCTGCGAGACAATTTCTCACACAGAAACTGATAGCTTGTAAAAAAAAAAAAAACAAAGCTTTCCCAACACGTCCTCCTCAACAAACCATCCTGCTGACATCGACCATGCCAACTCAAACCACCAGCCGCTTTTCATATTTTCTTTCCCCCTCTTACAAATGTGTTTCATTTATTTTGGCTGGTGTCTGAAGCCTTCCTCAAAAGCAGTTTGAAGCGGAGTTAAGAGGCCTCAGCTAGCAGCCAGACGGCCCGTCATGAGCATCTATACTCTTAAATCAGGTCCAAGATTCAATAATGGCATTTAATAGATTTTGCCCTCTTGCGGTAACCGCTGGTTCAAGTCCAGTTCAGGGCTCTAATGGGGTTCACCTCAGACAGCGGGGATAATTAACGTCCAGTATTCTCCTGCATGACAGGATTAGAGATGACACAAATACAGAAGGACAGGGAGAGAGAGTGATATCCACAGAGACGGGGAGGAAAACAAAACGGGAATTCAGAGAAGGAAAGGATAAAAAAAAAAAAAAACAAAGATGGGCCAATATGGAATAAATCAAGATATATCATATCGAATCAATTAAACCGTATACATCCCCTGATCCATTTCATATGCCTCTGATTTCTATTAAAGACTCCATAACAAAGTTTTGTCTGTGTGTGTCTGGACAGTGAGTCGCACTAAAACACTCGACGTGGATTAAAAGCCGCGGCGTACTTCCCAGAATACCTCAAGGCTCGGCTCTGACTGGACGTTTATCCGGCTCTTCAGAAACCATGACGCCATCGATCTCTGTTGATGCAACGTGATCGACTCCAGATGCTCTTCATATATGTATGTGTACCATTTGATTACCATGCTTAGCCAACAATCAACCGAAACAGCAGCATTAAATGAAGAGGCTGCAGATGAGGACAGCTGTGACGGCCTGCAGGTCAACATCTGAATCTCTGTAAAGTTTGTTTTGTTACATCGTGTGTCAATACAAGATATGATCTATTTCATCTCATTTCACATTTTGAAATCAGCAGATGAGACCATTCTGTATCCAAAACCATCAGACTGCTGCTGGTTAGAACTTCTTTTCTAAAGGTGTTTCTTGCTGTGAGGCAACAGCGCTAACCACCGCACCACCGTGCGGCAAGAATTGAAGCCAACACTTTGAGAAAAGCAGAGTTTGACTTGTTTCTTGAATTTATTTTTCTATTTTATTTTTAACATTAGGATCTTTTTTCTCAATATGCCAAACAAGAATAAGGTATTACCTTTGCTGTTTGAACTCATTAATTCAGCACTTGTTTTTTTGAAAACATACATTCCACCTTGGTTGTCCACGTCTCCTCTAACTTTGATTTTATGACATTTCTGAACATGTCCACCTCCTCCGCACATTTTCCACTTTAATCTTGACATTTTGGTTTTTATTTTAAATTTTTGAACTTTATTCCGGACATCTTGACTTTACTTTCAACACTTATTCTTTATTCTGAAATTAATAAAATCCTTCCCCTTTTCTTTCATATGTCTGACATTTATACTGAAAGTTCAGTCGATTCTTTAAATGTTGTTCTTATTCTCAAAAGGCTGAAAAAAACCTGTAAGCCTGACGTCTGATCTCTTTGCCTACATAAGGGAATAGGGAAAATATATGAGGGATTTACTTTGTATGATTGGGAAAGCAGGTCCTCAGGCCTCCTTTGCATCATGTATCTCTGCTTAGACATCGACTCATAATGTCTGAATGTCTCTGTAATGAAACTGGCATCCAAACGTTAGCAAAAAAAAGCCTTTTATGATTTATTTTTGATCTTCTACTTGATAAAACGTTGATCCATCAGGAGGACAAATCCTTCCAGATTCATATATGATAAATAGAGAAGTCCTTAAGAGGTGTGTGTTTGTGTGTTCACTGTTTAGAAGGTCACACACAATGAAGACCCCCCCACTCCCCACCCTCTCCTTTCTCCCTGAACAATTTTCCTCTACTTAATTTGTGATGGGATTATCCCTGCAGTCCGAAGGGTTCGGTTGGTCCCACGTTTAATAACCAGCACAGCCACTTCAGACCGAGCCAGCCATCGATCCAGCCTGAAGGGGGAGTGAGACTACTGAGGTGGTGGTGGGGGAGTGATGGGGGGGAAGCTAATAAAACGAGGCCCTAATCCAGCCTCCGTAGTGAGGGATTATGGCCAGGGCGCAGGGTCATACAGATGTACACACCTTAATTCACCACAGGGAAAGGTCAGACTCTCCAGAGGCTATTACCCCGTGCTCTGTCTTTTATTTATCTTTCACCTTGTTTAGAGGACAAATATATATTAGCCTGAATGTATGACCATGGATAAAACACTAATATAAAAAAAGAACAGAAGGTAGACCATTAAATTCAGTATTAGATTGAACAGTATTCAGAAA